GTCAATGCGACTCAACCCGTTGGTGAAATGAAAGATGTCCATCTTCTTACTGAGAATCGCTCGGCTTTCCAAAACTTCCGGTGTCAAACCAATCCCATGGATGATTGTCCATATCGATGTCTTTGATAAGGAGATATTATGTGCCTTTTAAACGCATATTGCGCTTCATCAAGATATGAGAGAGGTTTCGATTGATTGAAGCCAAATAACCACCGCCAGTGTTTTTTGGTGAACTATTTGTCTTTGTATGACTTAGCTTGCTGATGTTTCCCTGTCTCTTCATACTCTTGAATCCACTTTACACTTGTCCTGTCAGCCTTGGTGTAGATGTGCGCCTGCTCCATGTTTCCGAAATGATAATAACCATACAAGCAGTGGAATACAGTTTTTGGATGTGCGTGCGGCTTTGTCACGGCTGCTTCCATGATAGTTTTACATATCAGTCACTGCATGAGTTGTGAGTATAATTAGTGCTGTTTTCATCACCGCGCACCTAACTGCTGTTGGCACCAAGAACTACAGTAGCGCAAACAGGAAACCTCGTCCGAGCTTGGCTCATTGACGCGTTGAGTAGTTTGGAACTTGCAACGATCTCGTTGTAGGGTTCTTTGCAGCACCGGAAATAGCAACAGCAGCTTATAGTGGAGCAGCAGGACACGTGCTAGTGGCTGCTACCACCGCGCCACCGACCTCGAATGTGTGTTTGCCAGCTCGGAAGCGTCCGCTACTGAGGCGAGATAGCTTTGCAAGACTCGGCACAAGTGTTAGACCAAATCAATTACAATTGCTCACAAAGCTTCTTCAGCTAAGTTCCTTAAAAACAAGTCTTTAGTGTTAACCCTCAGAAGATTGTTGTTGCTGAGCTGGAGCTGAGCCTCACCGAAGCTGCGTGCGTGAAGAGCTTGCTGCGACAGAGCGCCGAGTAAGAATCAACACAATAATATGACAGGAGAGGATAAAATTAAGATTCAGGACTAATTTTGACAATTAAACGAGACTATCGGCTCTGTGTCGACCTTGAAAGAGATGTCCAACCGGCTAGATTGGCAAACATTTAAGGAATTGAAAATATTTGAACGGAGTATCGTGTAAGAATGGGATTCGTGATTACCACATCATACCTTACGACAGTTCCGAAGATGGCAAAAGCGAATTATTCAAGTGGATAAATGTGATATCTTACCAAAAATAACCAAGCGAATGACAAAACAAGAACAAAACTAAAATCTCTGTTTCTCGATTTTTGACTCATGGAAGACCAAGTACTAAGTATGATTCATGAGAGGATTTCCACACCATGTCAGAACGTTTTCAGTGCGAGATTTACCAGCACTTCTCAAAACAATCCAGAACGTCGGTCATGATCAGAAATAAATCAGATGACGAAGAATACGGAAGCCTTCGAATCGACTGGTAAGCGCGCTAGGAAAACAATAAATTTGATTCAGACGTCTTGGGAACATTACTTCAAGATCTCGAAGTGCGTCCACGGCTAAGAGTACAAGCCGAGGGGACGAGGGAAGAGGAAGCATCGAAAAGTGCGCGGCGTCAAGTCCAGTGCAAACCTGAACTCACGTGTGACCGCGGCGTTGAGCGGACGTTGGGAGCTGAGGGTGCCTGGTTCTCCACAGAGCTGGCACCAACGTCGAAGGATTTCTGTAGTAACTTCGGGAGCGCACTAGTGATTCTTTTTTTGTAATTGGTGTGATATTGGTTTGACAATAATCTTATTCTGGTGCGTGTTCTTTTTATCTATCTAGACAGGAAGACAACTCTCAAAGATGTACGCAACATGGTCCAGGTAATCCGCGCCAAGCAGAGGGGTTGTTTAACGGATAATGAGGGAGATTTTATCCTCCTTGTGGAGCTCTACGGCCAAAACAGAAGGAACGCTGCGGCAGTTGTAGTAGACTGCGAGACCATCGTGGCTCGTCTGGAGACTTTCCAGTTCTCGAATATGAAGCGATTGTTCTCGCAATTTGCTAATGTTGTCATGGTAGATTCCACCCATGACACCAACACCAATCGTTACAAACTGTTTAGCGTCGTCTGGCGCGACGTATTTG